GTTTTTTTTTTTGGGGGGGCTGGGGGGGATTCGGGACCTTTCCCCCCCCCCCCCCCCCCCCCCCTGTGCAGAGAGCTACTGCTGTTCGAAAATTTTTTAGGGCACATTTACAAGCCCGTTGTTCTTGTGGACGGTCGCGGCTGTCATGAGATGTTGTCGGATCACGAGCATGCGCTCTCCATGAAGGTCATGCACCCAAGGCCGGGCTTGGTAACCACGTTAGCGCCGAGAACCCGGGACCCAACATGTCTTTGGCGCAAAACCAAGCGGGTGGGAAGGGGTAATCGCAGCCATTTGTTCCGGCGGCATGGCTTCGGCCGCAGCAAGCAGCTTTACTCTTTGTTGCTTTTTTGTCATCAGCCGTGCTCTTTTTTTTTTTTGCATCACATAAAAATCAGCGCTCGAATACTGCATTTCTGCCGTGAAGGATCTGCAATCCGTGGCCACGCATGAACTCTGGGAGGCCAAAACGGAACCCTTCGTTCGTTGCGCGGCCGCCCTCAGCTGTGTTGATCAGTATGGGTACAAACTTCTTCCAGGAACGGGCATAGCCATGGTGTATCGAAGTATTACCCAGAAGAAGGATGCGCACCCCACAGGCAAATGAGATATCTCTCTCTATCTATCTCCGGGGGGATGCACTTGGGACCCCAACCGCATACGTTCCCCTCACACACATACTGCCCAGATCGGGTATCGTACCCAAATACCACAAGCACGCTTCCTCCAAGTACGGGGGGAAACGAACCTACCCCAGGAACAATTACGTGGGGTGGGGGACTCTTTCTGGAACTGCACGGTGTAGCCAACAGGAACCCACCGTACAGCGCTCTCAGAATCATGTTGCTTTGTTGTGAGGCGACGTGATTCATTCGCTAGCTTGTTGGGAGTTGAGCACGGAGCGGTCTATCTACCTTCTTGAAGGCGCAGCAGCGGTGGTTTCTTCCCTGAAGGTCTCACTCTGACGCTCGTTCGTGGACTGTTGTTGCGCCGCACGTCGTAGTCGGTCGAAGGCAGAAAAAGTCGATTCTTCGTGGCCCGTCGGCGGTACGACATGTTTTTTTTTTTGCCCGTGTACAGGACACCGGTCGTTCTTCTCCATCACCTCTTCCCGTCGTCCTTGGTCTGCTTTACTTTTTCCCTTTTCGTGTTCCTTTTTTTTTCTGTAACGATAATGATGGATGGGCACCCAAACACACCGGTCGTTCTTTGTTTGCTTCTTTTTTTTTTTTCCTTTTCGTGTTGTGTCCCTTTCCTTTTTTCTGTTACGATATTGGCGGATGGGATACCCAAAACACCGGTCGTTCTTCTCCATCACCTCGCTCCCCCCCCCGTTGTTCGTCTGCCTGCGTCTTTCATATTTGCTTTGCTGCCCTTTCTCTTGTTTCTGTAACGATGATGCCGAACAATGAAAAGCTCATGGGCGCTTGACGCCGTGGAGGAGTACGAGGACACGGCCTTTTACCTGGAGGCGGACACGCTCGACCCTTGCGGCGGCCACGCAACTCCCACGGGGGCCTACCACTACCACGGCACGGCGGGGTGCCTGCAGGAGCAGGCGGGGGCGCTCAAGGGCGAGCACTCACCGGTGCTGGGCTGGTCATACGTGAGTGTACATGTATGTGTGTATGTATATATATTCTTTTCGAAGTGTTATAGCAGCGAACCGGTGATTTGATGCCTGGATCTCGCGGGGGGGGCGGGCGGGGGGGGCGTCCGTAATGCATTCGTGTGTGCTGTGAGTCAAGCGTTCGCTTGCTTCTGAGGGCTGCACGTACGCTGCAGGGAGTCAGCGCACGAGTGAGAGGTTGGTTGAGGGTATCCAGAGAGGCTGGCTGTATCTGCATCTCTCTGGGGAAAGGGAGAAAGAGGGAAAAAGAAAGGCGTTGGGCTGCAGCAAGAGCGCTTTCGTGCGTCAAGGTTGACAGGCGGATTGTTAGGTTGAGCACCACTCGCGCGCCGGCTGGACGTGGGGAGGGATTTGTGTGCGTGCTTGTGTACCCTGCGTTGCTTGTCTGGGCTATTTGACGCATCCCAGCATGACTCGGTCCCTATCTTTCAATAAGCTTCCCTATCTTTCAATAAGCTTTCATGACACCGCGAACTGTTGCGCGGAAATCGATCACGGTCGGCGATTTTTTCGCTTCAAAGAGCAAATAATAGCGGGGTGCGCTTCAACCCCGGCGACCGTCACAAACTGACTTCTCTGAACTCTTTGTTTGACATCGGAGAGGCGGAACCCGAAGGAGCAACAAGGAACGTTTCATGAGCCCCCCCAACAGCGTGCTCGGCCCGTTTCGTACTAAACCTCCCACCATGACAGTCGCATGCCCTAATCCTCATCGAGACGCTCCTCCGCCTGCGGTCAGCGGGTTTTACAGCCGTAGAAGGGCTGCGACAGGAAAGTCGGCTCTCGAGGCCGAACCCACATGGCTTCTCCGTCCTCCACCGACCCAATCCAACCAGCCCCCTTCCGTTTCCGCGTAACGCCATTCCAGGACGGGTTTCCGATCTACGGGCAGTTGGGCCCTGACGGAATAGAGATGAAGGTAGGTCGTTGGTGATGTTGCTGTCGTGTTGGATGCTGCTGATATGTTCGCCTGCTTCGAGATTTTTGTCTCTCAGGAGCCGGTCTACTCTACGTTCCACTTCTAGACGCGCGCGGGAGCGTTTCATTCCAATGGGGGGCGGGCGGGCGGGTGCACCACTGGTAAAGTAGAACCGCCCTCTTGTGTATTGCGGTGGCGATACGTGCGTAAATCCCCGCCGGCCGCACGGTCGAAAGCCATCCCCCAAGCCGCCTAACCGCTGGACTGGCGCTTCATTGTGTGGCAGATGTGCGGAGCCGATGGGGCGCACGACACGGCCTGCCTCGACTTGTGCTCCGGCTACGAGGCTACCATCGACGAGGACGAGTTCACGTACCGCTACTACACGGTACGCAACCGTCCCTTGTTTTCACGTGCGTCGTGATCCCGCCGGACGCGATTCTTTGCGCCCTTCCCTCAGACGATGAACGGATGTTTTTTGGATCAGCAAGTTGCTTTCCCAGGCACGGCTGCGGTGTATTTTCATTTTTCTAACCTGGGCTTGCCGGCCAAGGCCTTCGATCCACAATTCATGTTAGTTGCAGGGTTTTGTTTTGCGACACAGAGAGTAGGGCAACAACCCGCCAACGCACTGAATGGCGCTGTTACGCACTCGAAAGTCCCACATGCAGGCGATTCCGGTGTGTAGGCGTGTTCTCCGAGGTTCGCATGTGCGGGCGAATTATCCCTCTAGTTAGTCAAACGTCATGATGGTCGCCTGTGAGCAACACCAGCCACGCTGACGACGTTGGGCAGGGCGCCCCGTGCCCAGTCGTTACTTGCTTCACTACATCATGTGTAGTCAGTGGTGTGCTGGCTCTCGTGCGCTGTTCTTACGCCCTTCGTTCGACGGTTTGTCGGTATTCTATTTATATAGTCGGTCGTACTCCTGACGATGCTTAACCCGGGAGGGTACGTCGCAGGCAAAGAAAACGCTCTTTTTCGTGTGAAAGCAACCGGCCACTCACTCCCGAATAACACCGATTCTTTTTTTGTTCCGATGTTTTCCCCCCCTTTTCTCCGTTTGTTCGGTGTTCGGTGTTCGATCCTCACATGCGTGGCCGTCCAGTCATGCGGGTTCGACGAGTCGTTCTTTCCCTTCACCCTCAACTGCTTCCGCGGCTGCTGCCCGACGGGCAACACGTAAGACTCGGCCGATGAGCCTGTTGCTTCTCAATCAAGTAATATTTCTGAACGGCGAGGCGGGCCCGCGCTGCTGTCGTAAATAGTATAGCGTTGACACCAACCGCGACGACACAATCAGCCACCCCTCACGAGGACCCTGCTCCCTGTTCGGCCATCCCTCTTCCAATTTAGCTACGCTACACATCTCCATCGCGCTCGACCCAAACCCACAACAGGTGCAGCGACAGGCTTGACGCGTGCGGGGATGACGCGGAAGTAGGCTACACCGACGACTACGTGCCCGTCGCACAAGAGTCTATGGACGAGTTCTACGACACCGAACTGATCCTTGGGGACGACCTTGAGCTTATCGGCTCCCAGATCACGGTCAACTGCACCCTGTACCTGGGTAAGAGATGTTTTTTTTCTTCTTTTTTTTTTCTCTTTTTCCTTTTGTTTGGTTTGTCGTGGCAGCTGGGTCCGGGTGGCCTCTCTCTTGCATCGACCTTCTTGCCGACAACCAGCTCCCCTTCTTCTGGCGCTGCTGCACAAGCCATGTTCTGTGGATTTTGTATTGTTCGCTCCCGCTACTTACCAGCGCTCCATCTCTGTGTCTGTTGCAGCGCCGGCCGACATTATCCGTGTGCACATGCTGTGAAGTTCTTTTGCTCAGGCTGCGATGCCGAGAAATGAAGTTGATTTCTCGCCCCGTCGATATTGGTGTGAAAGAGGAGGAACCAAAGGTAGGACCAGGTTTGTTTTTCAGTTTCAACCTGACGGCGACAGCCCAATCCTCCGGAGTTGGCGTGTCCGCCGCAGTCATCCGGTTCTTCGTTTTTGTCCTCGCTTACCGTAGGTGATGGAAGATATCACACCCCCCGGACCCATTTTTGAACAGCTCGAACACTCTACCTCAACCCTGACGGGCGGCGTCGAAAGTGTCGGCGTGGAAACCTCTTGTCTAGGGGTTTAGAACAAATGGTATTTGGTTTGGTTTTGCACATCCTTTTTCGTCGTGGAGTACTCGAGCTTTGAAGAGTCGGTGCAGGGGGTATGGTATCGTACGTCACCTTCGACACCCCGCTGATCTAACCAAAGAGACTCTCGACGCCCAGCCAGACGGAAATGAGTGGAGTAGTCGCAAGTTGTTTTTTTGTCTGTGGTCGATAGCTTCCGCTAGGAGTCAACTCCTTGCCCTCCAGCCAACAGAGCGACAAGGACATGAAAGTTGGGCTGCGTTTTTTCGGCCGTCCTGATGTGTGTTCGTCGTCTTCTTCTCTTGAAGACAAGAACGGACCCGTGGTGTAGGTACTATAGGGCGAGAAGATAATGTCCGGTTCTCCTCGAAACATATTTCTGTGCGCATTTTTTCAGCACGCGATTGGGCGTGTCTGCCGCACAAGGACAGCAAACATACTTCAGGGGGAGGGAAACGATGGCCCTCTCAGAGAGGAGTGAACCACGCTGCGCTCTACAACAAATCGTTGAGTGCCCTGCTCCTTCCACCCCCGATTTTGGCTTTTCTTTCCATCACAAATCAACTCTAGGCTCTGAGTCGGAGCTGGCGACTGGAGATGTTGCCCGCGAAACGACCCCACCCCCTACTCCGGCCGCCGTCGCCGATGCTGACCAAGAAACCCCCTCCCCGAGCGCTGCGACCCCCGCTCCCACCATGGGCGGCGGCAGCGGCGGGGGCGGGTCCGCGGCGGACGCGCCTACACCATCTCCGGAGGCAGCTGCTAGGAGCGCGCCGGAAACGACTGCCCCGCCGAGTACGTTGTTGGTTGCGTGCGTGCGTGCGTGCTTGGCTGACGATCATGTGGTAGCGCTCTTCCGTTGCCTGCCGTCTTGTTTTGTTGGTTGGGTTTCCCGTTCGGTTCGGCCATGCCATCATCGTTTGCCGCGCGCGCCCCTGGCTGTAGGATTTGCTGCTGTCACGACGCCGCCACAGGTTGTAGCCTACACCCTGCTGCTTGAGCCCCGCCCCGCGCGCGTTGTATTCGTTGTTCTCGGACCGTTTTTTCGTACGTTTGTGATGGTGGCAGGGGCGTTCGGCCCAGTCGCTCTGCGGTTGGGGTTTTTGTTTGTGAACCTTTTTGGCGCTGTGTTTTTCAACAGTCTCGTCGCAACTGACTTCTAGGCGATGGGAGAGAGGGACCTCACGCCCCCGACCGGGCGCGAATTGCCCTCCCCTTACTTGACGACCTCGAACCACCGGGCGCGCGTCACGCCGCGTGCTTTACCTTTGGGGCCTTCCTCGCCGTCTTCTTTCCCGATCGTCAACGATGCCCCAACTTCCGCGATTGGACGCGAGTTGCCCGACCCCCCCGCTCGATTTCGAACCACCGCGCTCGCGTCAAGACGCGTTCCTTTCCTTGGATACCTTCCTGGTTATCTTCCCGGCCCCTCAACGACACTCCAACGTACCGTGCGAGTCCGACCTCTATCCTGCACACACCCATCACGCCTCGATGCTTCCCCGGGAACGACACCGGAAAAACGTTTGGCCCGTTTTTTCCCGTTGCCCCGCATCCAAGGGAACCGGGAATGTTGTGGATGTTGTTTGATGGGCAGCAATACCGGCACTGCTCTCTTTTTTTCCACCTGCGTTTCGGCCGCCTTTCTCCAAGGGCCACCCCCCTTCACTTCACTGACCAACTCACTCCATTGGCCACCTTCTTGTATCGGCAACCTGCCTCCATTGGCCGGACAGATCCCTCCGATGGCCACCTGCCTCCATTGGGCCGACCACCACCGCGTGCCCTTCCTTGCAGTCCCGTGCTTCCTTGGCCTCCCGCCGTGCGCTCTTTGCCGCCTACCCAATGCGGGGCGGGAGAGCAGTCGCACCCGTGAGACTCATGCACGGCCATTTTTTTTATTTTTTTTTCATTTTGGTTCGAGCCCTAATATTACTGTCGTCGGGTGCCCTCGACAGGTGTGGGTATGTGCTAAGCGCGTTTCCCCCCCCCGCACTATTCAAAGCTTTTAACCACATCTCAATCATTCTCTCTGTGCCAGCCGATGTCGCCAGAACTATACCGGGCGCACCGGACTGTAGTATGTAACGTGCGAGGTATGGATGGATTTAGCGCACAAATGTTTAAGGCGGGAGCGATGACTTGCTCAGCGGTGTCTCGGCGAGAAACATGAGAATGCCAAGAACAAAACCGGGGGTTGTCGACGTTAACACTTGCTACCCCCGAGGTTAATGGTCTACCGACTACACAATTCACGACTATGACTACCTCTCCCCCCGCCCCCTCCATTTTTGAAATTTTGCAGGTTCGGGGGGGGACACCGAAGACGCCGACATTGGCGGGGCCCCCGGGGGGATTTTGAGCTCCACGCCCGGCATAGTCTTCCTGGGCTTGATAGCCACCGCGGCGATGGCTTTCGCCTCCTAAAGAGGGGACGATGCTGTCTTGTCAAAAAAAAGTGTGCCACAAGGGACGCGACCTCGTTATGGTTTTCGCGCAGTGATGGGTGAATCGACACAGCTGGTTTTGAGGTGATAAGTTTTGCGATGGGTAAACCGACGCGAAAGGTTTTGGAGTGAAAATATTTTGAATGTCTTGTGTGCGGCAGGCCAGCGGGGCACACGGTAACGGAAGTGGTTGCGTCTGTACTGTTCGTTTGGAGGGAAGGGGATGGGTAGGAAGCAAACACCGACTCCCGCCGCATTAAACGTCCCCTTTTTCCATTCTCATGTCCAAGTTCCTGTTGTTGTCGACGGACACATGAGGAAGAACGGCCGTGTTGCGACGTTGCGGCGGCACTCCCATTGAAGGCCTGGTTGCTCGGCGAAGGGCCGTTTACTGTACAATTTATTGCATCGGTTATCCACGACTTGGTTTTTCATGTCAGCACGGGGTGAGTCGTTATTTTATTTTTCGGGATTTTTCGGAATGGGGCCGTCTCGCAACGCTCCCCGTCGTGCCGTGCCCGCGTGAAAACCGCTTAGTTTGGTGCTCTTCAATGGCTGGGCATGCTGCCGGCCGGACTTGAGCCACTATCGTGCGTAGCGCGCGCGACGCTTGCCGAAAGGCCCGTCCGAATTTTGAGGGGCGGAAAAGCTGCTCCTATCTCTCGTGCTGACCGTTTTGTTTGTAGTTGAGGCCGGGCGGGGTGTTTTGGGTTTAAACTCTAGTACCGCGCCTGTGTTGGTGAGCTTGCGATGCTTATTTGGCTTCGCGTAGTGCGGGGTGTAGAAGAAGGCGAGGGGGGTCTCTTTGTTTTTGCCGTTCAGTTTCCGCACCAGCACGCGAGACAAGACGGGGTGGCGTGCATCACTCTTACATTACATCGAATATTCAGTTAGGGTATAGCCCGATTCCGTAAGCTGCAGCCTATGCAGCCCCAAGAACTGCGGCACGGGGCGGGGGCAGTGATTACGGAGGGCGGGGTGTGGGGGGTATCTACGTCTGGAACCCCTTGGGGACCACGCTTGCGTGCGGAGGGAGTGATGTTTCGTTAGAGACACTGGCGCAGCGATTTGGCGCGACGAAGATGGCGGAAGTGGCACGCCATCATCCGCGTGGTATAGTCCTGTCGTCTGTTCATTTTCTGGAGGCATAGGAGGAGGCTTTGGGTTTTGGCGTTACGAGTGCTGTGTGACTTGTGGTGCGATGTTGTACGGGTCGCAATTTTTCCTCTGTCGACCGCTAGGATGTTGAGTGTGTATTGTGTTGTTTCGGTGTATCTCGTACGTTAATGTTTTTCGTGCTTATGAAGCATGCGATGATGTTCCACTCATCCATGCCAGAAGAATGCGATATTATTGGTGTCCACACGAATATTAGTTTTTCTCGATTGGCAGGATGCTGTGTTGTGGTGCGCATGCTCAAGTTTCGTTATGGTGTAAAAGGAGGGTAATAACTGGCGTCTCTGGCGTGTCACTCTCCTACGGTTCAGAAAGATCTTGAACATGTTGCTGTAAGGCACGGGGCTAATCATTGTTGCGTTCGCTACTGTCATGCCGTCGGTGATTACTCTCATGTCTTTCACAACTGCAAGACTACCCTTGTCTTTCATAACGGGGAGACGGGCTTGTGCTCTCTCTTGCTCCTCATGTTGGGCGATGATCGGGGCGGACTGTTTCGGTTTCTTTCGGCATGGCGACCGGCCTAAAACCTTGAACATGGTAACGGGGTGAACACTTCCTCATTGATTTCGTGTTGTCTATGACGATCCATACAGGCCTACTCTCTCTTGCTTATCACGCGGTGCGTTGAACGGGGCGGATTTCGGCCTCTGTCGTCAAGTCGGTATCGTGTAGGCCGGCCCAAAGATGAGCCCGTAGCAGAGTAGAACACTGCCGTATCCAGATAGTAACCGCTTGGTTCGATGAACGTTTTTGTGGCAGCGCGTTGTTTTCGTGATGCAAGTGTGTCTGCCACCTTCGAGTTCATTCGCAAGAAGACGTGTTCACGTGGCCAAGAACAATCTCACCATCCGATGAATGAACCGGAGCGATTGGTATCAACGCGTGGATTGGCCTCAAGCGCAGCATCGTTTACGGTGTGGTCATTGTAACTTGTTGACAGCAACGACCAGTACTGGTCGGGAAATTTCACTACCCGTTCGAGATATTACCACAACCGAGGGGATGTGAACGTGGAAAAAAACGACTGGATAATGGTCGTCTGTAGTTTGAGGCCGAGCCTTTCCTTGCCACCCTTCACGGCAAGCAACAACCGTGTGTGGTCTAAACACATAGAATTGATTATTGTGTGATTTCGAAGAGAAGGGCGGAAACGCCTTCCAAGCGGGCTTTCAGAAATCCTGCATAATTTGGAAACCCTATACTTGTAGGCTACGTAGTCTTGGTACAGAGACCACTCGACCGCAATACAATGCTGCCGACTTCGGGTTGAGGGGCCGTTCACCATCAGAGTTCTCGCGCATGCACTTCCTTCTACTGTTTGCCTTGTCGATGAGCAGAAGGTTCTGGCCTTCCACAAAACTTTCTCACAATGGGAAGCCGCATTTGGTAGACTAATGACCAACACTTGGAGGCCGTTGAAGGAATGTTTGGCGCGGACCGATAGGAAAGAACGCGTGGTAGACTAATGACCAACACTTGGGCGGTGTAGCTGGAATGTTGGGCGCGGTCCGGGAGGAAGGAACGGGCGCTTCGACGGTCCACGTGACGCGGGCGCGAGGTGGCGAGAGAATTTCGCACGAGAAACGCCTGTGATGCGTTGGGTAAAGATGAAGGAATACATTCACGCTCCAGGGTGGGACTGGTCAGAGAGGATGGGGGTGGGAGGGAGAAGGAGTGAGCTAACAAAATCTCCTCATTGTTATACTCGGGGCAACTCCTGCGCGGATGTATGTCAGACATCAATCGACTTAAACGGTTGGTAGGGGCATCTCGCCATATCTACGTAATTAAGAAAAACGAAACCGAACACTACCGTGCTCTGGGGGCATTTCATAATACCTTTGGTTCACCTGTGTGCTGTTGATACTTGCTGCAGTAGAGGGATGGCTGGCGGGGCGCTCGGGGTGGGAGAATCGAAGGGGTTCGCCGGACTTGCAAAGACAGTCGGTGTTCGATAGGGTATATGCAATGCTGATGCAAGGTCTGAGGGTGAACTCTTTGTTTTAGAGGGAAATCACACCAATCGATCATCTCGGACATCCGTGGGCGCGCGTTTGCTTGTGTATGAAAGTGTTCTTGAAACCCCCGACAGGGCGTCTGATTAAGTGACGCCTCGCGCTTGGGTAGGTCCGGCTTCCGACTGAAAAAAGCCGGGCATCTCATTCATTCATTCACATTCACATGTGTTGTTCATGCAAGGTGAGACCTCAAATACACCCTAAACATATCAAACACTCCGCTTCCCAGTCTTGCGAGCCCCAGCGGAGTATGCGCAGGTAAGGGATTTCCTCCCCACCTGTCTCCCCCCCCCCTGGGTGTTTGCCATCGGGGTTGGATCTTTTTTTCGTCGCTTGGCAACGATGTTGTAAAACAAGCCGATCACTTCGTGAGCTCGACAACCAGGCTATCGCTTTTCTCTTGCCTTATATTGTTTTTTTTGCGGTAACCGTGAATGGTGGTCGAGTAGACAATGTTGTGCGGGGTCGAGAACCCTCACTCCACGCAAAGGAGATAATCGCACCACGTTGTGTGAAGTTGGTCAAGCACCTTCAAGGCAGTTACACAATGCTTACAACTGTCTCTGGAAGTGAAAGCACCAGAAAATAAATTAAGTCATACGCAGCTGTCATCCGTACGCAAGGAAGTAAGCACAAGATGCCGAACACCCTAAGCAGGATGCAGCTCATCCTTCATGCGACTCGCCCAATACCTCACGGCACTTCGCGCTTGGTGATGTGAGAGCCTGGTCCGGCGAGAACCCGGCGTGCTTGGTCCCGGCTTTGTAGGGGTGCGGGTCAATGGTCTAACGACTCTGGCATGCACGACCCCCCTGTCTCCCTCAAAGTGCAACTTGTACTTGATCCTTCCTTCCCGCGGGGACCCTAACCAAGCCACGGAAAATATTATCAGCGTGACGGTTTTTTGGTGACCGCGAAGGTATCGGCATGCCCGGGCCATGATGACGATGTACAAGACAGTGAGACCAATGGTGCAAGTGATTGTAAAAACATTACGGATACACATTCACTGTTCATGCCCCCCCCGACCAAGAATGGGCAGGTGTACTGCCATGGGATCAAATCATGATACGATTCTACCTACACCAACGATACAAGGAGATTGTACCGACATGTTGCCGTGCACTCTACGACGGAGTAGTGCGTCGATGATAAACAAGAACTTTCCAAATTCGCAATGCTTGGTACTTGATGCCTGAGTCAGAGACAGTCAGAAACGAAAAGGTGCAACACGAAAAACAACCCCTTTCGGCCCGGCACGTACGCCAACCGGACAAAAGACATTTTTCACGCGTAGATGATGCCATGCATAAGGCCAGATTGCCCTGTTTTGAAGCCACCATCTTTCATCGGCCACACGATATCTCTTTCTCGAAAATGGACAGTAACGGGCGAATTGCACTCGATCTCTGTTGCATGACTCATTGACCTCTCGACGTGCGTCATCCGTGCCCCCGGCGTTTGCTTCGCAAAGCCCTCGCGGCAAGTGTGAACCCGACTGACTGCACGCGCATCCATCCCTCTTTGTGTGTGTATACAAAAAGTTTCATGTACTGTGTTCTAAAATGTAGTGACGGAAGAGCAAATCGACTCCTGGAAAGTGCATACGTGACGGACCTATCTGGACAGCGTTGTACAATCCCAATCCTGGTCACCCGAGGGGGGGGGGGGAAAGAAGAGAAGGAGCGGTAGAAAGAACCAAGTATCGTTTTCGGCTGAACCCGTTGTTCTGTAGTAATCCACCTCTGTTGCACATACGAAACGCGAGTGAAACGAGGAGGGTATGTAGGCGACACCGCTGTGCCCCGGCGACGTCGTACGCAGCAGCTAGGTAAGCGTCTGCTTGGCAGGGCAACTAGAAGCTACCCCAAAGCATCAGTGACTACGGCAACCGCCACCGTGACGGATGAAACCAGCAGATACATGGACCTTGCCATTGGTCCGTAGGCCCTCCTGCCACCCGCCCCATTGAAGTCGTCGTCGTCTACCACCCCTAGCGGGGCAGGCGTCGGGGCTGGTGGTGGGTTGGGCTCCGCGGACCCTGCAAGGGGCGTTCATTACCGGGTGAGTATCGCCGAAAAATGAGTGAAAATCGTGCACCAGCCCAAACACTCGGAGCTCAAGCGAATAAGCTCTCAACAAGATGAACGAGCAGTACCCAGAGCAGGGCATAGTGCCGGTGGGCGCACAGCAGTGTTCGTAGTGCACTCTATGTGTTCTCATTGTGACACGCAGCCTAGAGGTGAATAGGAGCCTATCCTGTTCCCGTGCTCCTTGCCAAGCAAGTTTTTTCGGAGTGAAACTTCCCACAAATTCACACGATTTTGAGGTCTGCGGCAAAAATGATCAACCTAAACCTAAGACTGACATGTTCACGCTTTTTTCGAGAACATCTTACCCATGTAGAAGGAACAATCCATTTCGTCCTGGGTGGCGACTTGGTCCACGTCGTCGCCTTCAATAAGATCGCTGTCCATGTACGGTGTGTCTAGATATAATGATTCGTAACTCTGTTTTTAGGAGTCCAAAAGTTGGTGTATTCGTGGCGGGGATCGGGGAAGCCGGGGGAAAGAGCAGTGGGTCAACGAGAGGAAGCTCTGCCAACGGAACACTCGTGGGCAATGGTCGCCTGACGCGTGCGATGGCAAGTACTAGGAACTCTTAACGTCCACCGCGAGTTCTTCTCACTATGGATCAATTGGGGTACACGGAAACTTGAGTGAGTGCATCTCAAACACGTTGATGGCGTGTTGCGCCCAGACTGACCCCATTGATTGTCGATGTGGAGCTTCGCGAAGAACACAAAAGGCCGCATCCAAAGAGTGTTATTCATGGGTGGATGAACTCGAACGCTTGCCCGTACACAATTCTCAATGGGCTGTACCATGGGCGATTGAAAAGAAACACGGAGCAGGAACGATGTACAGTAGAGCAACCGCCAGCTCTTTGTGCGGCACAGAAAACAAGTGTTTGGACACGAGTGTAACGTCGTTCTTACTTGACCGGCGGTGAAGTCGTCTGTGTATCCAATCACAGCACCGAGTTCCTCGATGCAGTTCTGCACCGTGCTGTGACACCTGGTGAAAAACAATAAATCCATTAAACCAGTCGGGTGCGAGGGGGGTAGTTGCTTTTGGAGAGTTCCATGGAAGTCCATGGACTTCCATGAAAAGTTCCATGGAGCTCCATGGACTTCCATAAAAAAATTCATGGAACTCCTTGAAATATTTCATGGAAGTCCAAGGAGTTCCATAAACATTTTAATGGACTTCAATGAAATATTTCATGGAAGTCCAGGGAGTTCCATGAAAACATTTATGGAAGTGAAAGGAGTTTCATGAAAAGATTCATGGAAGTTCATGGAGCTCCGTGGAAACAAGTAAAAAGTTTCTTGGAAGTCCAATGAAGCCCATGCGCACAGTTCATGGACATCAATGTCCAACACAGCCAAGGCTCATTGTCGCCATTTATCCACCAAGTTGGCGTCACTGGAATATTTCTAGAACGTCCATGCCATGAATGTTTCATAGACTCCCATGATGAAATATTTCATGGGCCTCCACGGACTTCCATGGACATGGTGTCATGGACTTCCATGGACTTCCATGAAATTTTTCATGGAAGTCCATGAAAGTCCATGGACTGGTTTCATGGGACTCCATGGAACTCCATGGACTTCCATGAAATAGTTCACTAAAAAATATTATAATGTAGATGATTGGAATGATTCCACAAACAGGTGGTCACCTGTTTTTCAAGTCGGAGATTTTCCCAACACCGGTCGCCGACAGCGGCGGTGACGAAAAGCGTCATACCCTTCGGCGCGTTCGGTCTCTAGACATTGCGAAACAGACGTATGTGCGTACGTGCCCGTTTCGCCCTATCATGGAAGGCATGTGTTCGGCGTGTGCCAAAGGCCCGTGATCACCACAGAACAGGGGTTTTACTGCAAGGTAGATACAGAACAACAGGCGGATCGTGTTTATTACTTAGAAGTATGTTTTATTGGTCCTGTTGCCATTGGCGGTGATAATGGTGGTGGCGGTACCATCATCACACCGGACTGTTTTGACCCGTATTCGTGTAGAGGTATGCACGCGTTGCTCAGGCAGGGGCTACTGTAAGATCCTGTCCTCCCCTGTTTTATCCCTCTGCGGGGAGTTACATCTACGCTTTCTAGAAGGAATCGTTCTCTTCAATGTTCCGTTTACACTCGGCAACTTCAATACCTATGCTTGTTGCCGAACACCAAAAATGGCTCTACCAAATAAACTACGTTCATGAGCCAATCTTCAAGGGGTCGACACAACAAATAAATGAGAGCAAACACAAGTGGTCGCGCTGGCTTCGTTGATGTCGAGAGAAGAGCGTAATCGATAGAAGTATATCGAAATGAAAAACCTGTGCTGTTGTCCTTTCCGTGCAAGTGCCCCGTACCAACACGTTTTTTCTACATAAAACACAACATCTCAACTGCCAACACGTACGTATTTGAAGTACCAAACTATTCACCTTCGTCCAAGCTCAATTTCGCTACCTCATGTGGCCTACACGATTTTCTACCGAAAAAAGCCCACACCACTGCCAATAGCATTGACTTGACGACAACGCCGACGCGGAAATACCATGAATACAAGAACAGACATGATGAGACAAGCCATTGTTATTGCCACGCAAGGTCTGCACTTACCGCGTCGTTTCTTCGCAACACCCACGGTAGCAGTTGATGGTGAACGGGAAATACTCTGGGCCGGATCCACACGTCTGGACACCCAAGTTGCGGGGACGACAAGGACGACAAGCGTGCGGTGAGGACCAGCTCGACGTCGAGGGATGGAAGGAGAAGCAACTCGATGCGCTTGATGTGCAGTGACGCAAAGGTTTGCGAAGCAGGAACTAAAAAATTGTCTGTGTCTTTGTATGATGTTTCGTGCACTCGCTGTTGTTTTGATCGGAATCACAACTCAGCGTGTCTGTGGAAGCTATTCCCTTTCCTAGGCAATGATTTGTTTCAGAAGCCTCCCCGCTACCTGCCATACCCAGTCCATTTTTTTTCCCAGCGAAAGGCAACTTTAGGCCACCGTCTACAGTAAGCCTATTTCTGGTAGAAGGTCCCAGGAGGCCTTATTGTGGCAAAGCGCCTACAGTCATTTATTAAGATCTTTGGTTCCGATTTACATCTGCCGCGTCACTCTCTTCTTTCATTGCCTACATGTATTACAGCCGTCTCCTAGAATCAACCCACTCTCCCGATCAATGTTCCCGCGAAACTACATATGTATGTCTTTGTCGTTGCAACAGCACAGTTCCCAGAGGTCCGACGGTGTTACTATTAGAGTCCTGATTTTTTTACGTACCATGTAATAGCGGTACAGCAAGTGGTCGACACCGGATATCTCCCCTTCATACCCCCCGCACTCATCCAGGCAGTACGTTTCATTCGCTCCGGTAGTGTTGCATCTCTGTGCGGTGAGGTTGTCGTCAGCAAATACAGGGAAAAAGCGAGTGAGTGCCTACGAGAGTTGCTTGTTTTGCAATGATGTTTCGATTGGCCTCGGGGTGCTGCCGCCGGTTTCATAATAAGTGATACAACCTCAACCCGGTATTTATTTCGCGCATCCCTCGAGGACGGCTTGGCGTCAAGCCTCTCGGTACACGGGCGTATTATTCACTGTTCTGTTTCTTCGGAGTGGTGTACGGAGCATAAGGCGGCGAAAAAGAGACGGAAACACGCCTCACCCTGCTGTGGTCGCGTCTCCCGTGCTTTCTAACGGGACGTCAACGGTCCCTTTTGTGACTATGGTTGCACAATTTGTACTCTGAGTCTCGGAGGCGGAGGAGGTGGACAACTACCGGGCTATCGTTCGGGCACAGCAAGGAATTCGAAAGGCAACAGGACGCCATCACACACAGAACAACGACAGCACCGCCTAACAAAAAAAGACAACATACATATACTTCTATTCAATAATATGATAAGTTGACCTCACCAGCATCTCCACTCCACTGGGCCCTAGCTGCCCGTAAATGGGAAACCCATCCTGCGTAGGCGGGTACGAACCGAGGCCCAATATCAATGGTGTCGTGTGGGGGTACTTCTCATGTATCCAACACCGTCCCCGCCCGTTTCTGTTGAGTCGAGAACCTCGAAACCACGCCGGCCGGGGAACCTCTCCGGAGAACAATTACAAACGTTGGGCACGCATTTCTTGGAATAAACAACACCAGTTGTGTGGCGGTTCCGATCCGAAATCTTCCGTCTGTTGTTGTTCCCGAGTAACGCGCAGTCTCCGTTGACGGTCAGCCAGCTTGAGGACCCCAGGTTGCGATGATTTAGTACTGGTGTTGGGTTCGCTGGCTCGAGACGATTAACCGGAGTGTTTTTCGCTGTTGCCACTCAGGAACGAGGACCCATATAGTAACAGACGACACAACCCAAACCCTAACCCTAACCCTAACCCTAACCCTTTGTTGATGTTGCTACTGGTATTGCTATAGCTGTTGCTTGCTGCTGTTGAAGCTATTTCTGTCGTCGCCGTCATCGTCGCCATCGTTGTCGTCATCAGTGGCATCTTAACATATCAACGTCGGTGTCGATCTTGTTGTTACTGCTGCTGCTGCTGCTGCTGCTGCTGCTGCTGCTGCTGCTGCTGCTGCTGCTGATATTTGCTAATCTTTGTGTTCTATTTCTTCTTTCGTGTGTCTGTGTTGAGTACCACCTATTCTCTATGTCAAATCTGCCCTTGCTTAACAATGTTCCGCGCAGGGACGACAGAAGCGTTGGACGCAAGAGGAGAAGAGTCGATTGAATAGACCCGCAGGACTGTTCGAGGCACTCACATAGGCCCAGCCCAGGAGCGGAGAGTGGTCGTCCGCCGTCAAGTTCTGCGCTTTCATGGCCTGACAATGCGTTGGAAGTGAAAGGTTCCGAAGGGGGCATGGAATGGGTTGCCGCACGCGGACAGGGGACTGAGAGAGTCGTAGGGGGAATCGGGAGGGGGTGCGGGTCAGCCGACCATTGCGCCTAACTCTACCCCGTACGTGTTGCTTGCAAAGCAATTCAAGGAGTTCAGAAAAGAGAACCGCTCCTTCAATCTTGCTAGCCTTTGGGTCCTTTTCTTCCGCTGATCGTTCGGAGATCACTTCAGGCCAAGGATACGGTGGGGAGCTACGGTAAACATTCCGAGGGTAGAAAGAGGGGAATCGAACGTAAGAATAGGCATGGTTTCGATGACCACACCTGCTCCTGGAGACACCCTGGGGCATTGTGGTAGTGGTACACCCCGTCTGCGGTCGTGCTTCCCCCGCACAGGTCAGTGGTGTCGCCATGCAGCTTGGCCGCAGCGGCCCCGTACGTTGTGGCTGCCCGATCATCGGCGTAAGAACTTGAGCGTGAAACAGCGGGGTGGGGGGTAGAGGTCAGGTCGGAAGACGGGCTAGTAGAGCGTGGTGGGGGGCCGTGTGTGGTCGTGGTATAGGCTGCGGGGATCACAACACTACGTCGTATTCCTTGGGGTGAAGCTAGGATCGTAGTGTGCTACGACACCCCTTCGCCGTCGTGAACAGCAACGCAGTTACGACAACATTTCACCTGTAGACGGCGACCCCGTTGATCATCATGCCGACGGGCCCTGAAACATCGCTGAGGTTGGTCGCGCGGTCGATGCCGCCACGGAACCACGGGGAACCGTTTACGTCAACGCTCACCGCTTTTTGCTGATACGCATCGAAATTGAGAGAGGCGAACGGCGAAGGTGATGCGTGCGCTTGAGGCATCATCAAACATACTCCGCGTTAGATTCGACTGACTGAAGATTATGACGGCATCAGGGGGGCAGGGAAAAAGTCGCTGATCGAAATACTCGAGGGGACTCTCCAACTGGAGAAATATCGTGTCATGTCTTCGTACGGTAACAGGAGTCTACGCTGCTAGGCATGAGGCGTGCTACGGAGGCATTGCCCTACACGGTTGTCCGGGGAAATTTCGCACCAATGGAATATCGAGAACGGCGATATCGTAGTAGGTTCGTAGAAAACACGTTGCACGTTGCGCGAAAACTGAGCCAAAACGGGTGCCGAAGGAAAACTGTCGGTCGCTGTCTTCGATGCAGGTCGAAACACAAACCGTTGTCGAAATCTGTATCTTTGAAATATTTGTGATTGTGAGGGTACGTTGGTGATGAAGTCCCCAGGGGCAAAGAGGGGACTCGAGCTGGGTGCATGCTCGAGGCCAAGCTTTTGCCCTCTCACTCTACCTGCAAGTCTCGTAATCCTTTAGCATGGATGCACATTCAAAGATCAAATTCGCCAACATGCGGCCGTGTAGAGGATCACCTTCGGCGCGACACCCCCGTCGATGGAGTAATGGACATGGTTGGGACACCCCGTACCTGTTATCAAGGCCCGGGTTATCGGGAACAATTTTCTGCGAGGTGGCCAACAATAGAGCGCACGACAAAGAGAGCAGATGAGTAATCATGTCATCCGTCAATCATATCCTCCCATCGCTTCCAACAGACAGTTGATCTTCAGCCACCCGTCGGGGTTCACAATACCACTCAACCTAGCATGATACCTTCTGTGCCTGTAGTGAACAGAAGCAACATGTCCGGCCTTGGTGTATGCTTCTTGCACCTCCATCTACGTCTTACCTACGGTTTGGGTAGACTGATTATATCAAGACTATCTTGCACCTCGACAACGACCATTGACAATAACAGTAACGACAGATCGCACAACTCACACGATCGAAAATCTGAAATCGGCGGAAGATCCATCCGCTGCACAGTCGAGGCTTTCGGATCTGTGTGCAAAGGCGGGAGGAATCTCACACAGCGCCGTGCACCAGACGAAGGCGCCAATGGCGAAGGTCGCGAACCTTCGAATCGTTGTGTTTTCGATGACGACCGCCGACATTTTCCCTCGCGAGATTTTTTCGATTTCGGCGCCTTGGAGCGGTGGAGAAATCAAATGCAAGCACAGCGTAAATCTCACGAGGCATACGTATTTTCCGCAGTGCCTGTCGTTTCTATACAATATCTGCAAGCAAACTACGAAAATCTGATATGTTCATTTCTCTACATTGTACCCGACAAGTGTTTCAACGCAAGCCAGCCCACGCGAACAACAACTACTACACAACGCTAATGGAAAGCAAACTACAAAAAAAGTACTTTAGTCTACTGTACGAGTCTACAGTACCGTATCTATTACAAGGCAGAGGCTACACGTAGAGCTCCTTGTCGTGTAGGTATGCCCGAGAACTATGCCAGGCTCAGCATTGTCGGTCGAACGCCTTTGTCTCTTCTCTGTCGTACTCCGAGATTCGAACAAGGCCCGTTTTGCGCACAATGTCCACCGGCCGGCTGACTGTGTAACACAATGTACGACGACCGTGTTGTCCCAGCACCACCAACGCCATAGACTATATCATCCAGAACAATGCAATGATCAGATGTGGAAGTCAAATGTCAAATATGCGTTTCAAAAGGGTTCCGCAGCGGCTAGTCGTTGGTTGCATGCTATTTACCAACCTTTAGAACCCAGGAGAACTGTGCGCTTCCGCGGCGGTGCTGTCCGTGTGGTTGACTTAGGTAGACTTTGTTGTGTGTTTCGGATACCCGATGGGACGTGTAGACGATACTGAGCCTGGAGTTACAGTAGTAGGAACAACTCCCTCTCCCTTCCTCCCTCTCATACACACACGCACATTCATGTCGAGGCTCATGCTGCTCGAACGGGACCTAGGTGCCTCTGCCAATCATGTCCCCGAGGGCCCTCGGTCTACTACATCATGTCACATGCAGAACAATATTGTAAAAAAAACGCGGTGGGATTTTCACTGCGCGGGACTGTCAGGACACGGTCCCGATAACTGTATTGTGGAGATATCGCCGTGTGCTGCTCGTGGAACAGGTAGAAATATGAGTTGGCCACCGTACAACACGGCCTCTGCGGAGGATTTGTTGCGTTCTTTGTAGAATAAAAAAACTTCTCCGCGAGGCTGTTACCCATACATAGACTATAAGTCTACATAGCGGACCTACAGTGCACCACCATCTTACGGGAAGACCAGCAGAAACACAGCGTTGAGCCTAATTATTCAACAATGAATCCATAGCCAACAGATTCCGGACTCCCGTCTACGGATACGTGCAGTCTAGAGATGATGAGACAGATTCAACACACCATTCTGGCGCACGCACTCTTTACACAGACTACACAGAGACGCGATGTACACGATTGATTGTCTACAGTACCACTTGGCAAAAGCGAGCCTTCTTGTCTACAGTCCGCTTTCGTTCCGGAGAACTGATACAACAATACGAATTACGGAATACCCGACACATGCACGCTGAAACATGGTTCGACTCTGTTCAAAGTCAATGATTCCAGCTCTTCGCCTGCATGGATACAACATGTACATGAGTAGGACAACTCAGACTCCCTCTCGTCCACTTTGGACGTATGTTCTTTCTGTAGGAATGACTTCTCCTGACCCAGTCTAACGCGGCTTACCAGCAAAGGCAGAATGGGCAGTAGCAGCTGGTATGCAATACTGTACGACAAATGCATACGGTGCAAAGTACTAGGGCTGCGGCGGCTTCCGCGTCCACGATTCCAAGGCACATGCGTTTGCCTTTACAGCAGCTACATACGTCAATGGGTTTTTCACGTGGGCATGGAGATGATGATACTTTATGTGACATGATTGTCCCAACGTTGGGTTGGCGTGGGAACACCAAACTAGAAGCTGACCATCTATTTCACCACGCGTGGTTGCTGACCACTGAAGACCAACAGTCAGGATGTTGTCTGTGCGGCAGTTTTACGCGAGCATGATTACGGCGAGCTCCGTTCACGAATGGTTAATGTGTATTGTCGCGCGTACAATCATGTGCGTGCGCACACATGGAGTCCATGGAGGCTACATCTTGCTCGCGGGGGTGACTGAGCGCCTTAGTCTACGAATGGTTGACGACGAAGGATGCCACGGAGCGAAAGTCGAGTTTTTGCATGGCTTAACAGATAGACCATTGACCACGGGTCCTCGAGAGGCCGGAGCAAGAATCCCTCAGGGCCGATCACCGATGGCTTTCCGTTCCATCCTATTTTGCCAAAGGTGACTCAATTTCGTTTTTCCTCCGGAATATACACCCTATCGATATTACTTCCCGCCTTTTCAGACCATTCCTATTCCCCAGCATTGGTTTCGTCTTTGACCTCAAAAATATCACTGTAACTCTCTCCAATTCTTCTCAGCTCAGTCATGTTTATCTCTCTCTTGTTCTGCGTTGAACGGATATTCTGCGACTACATGAACCCGGGTTTCGCTGCATTCACATTTGAACTTGTCGTCGTCAGCGTCTACCTTCCAAAATTTCGTCGCGTTCTCGAAGGCCAAGGTCCCCGGTCCAACATTTGACCTGTTGACTTTAGCTTTCTGCATCCATTGGGCCACGCAGATTCTCCTTGAACCCTTTTTCTTCTTTGACATTCCGTACACCTAGACCCTCTTTTTCCTTGGTTTGATTGGTAATAATTCCGTGCTTGTGTCTCGGCAAAAGCAGCAGATTTCGCCTTTGGAACACCTGTAGACCTACCGTTTCCAACGTATCACCTTTGTCAACATTGAACCCCAAATAGCGTGCTATACAACTGTTGCCCACCCTTTGGATTGTCTACCCTGCTTCTTGCTTGGCCACTTCGCCTCCCTCTGTAGCTCTTCTCAGCAACCTCTCCTCTCCCATGCCGTGCACACGGGGGGGAGGGGAGGACGGAGCATCACACCGACTGAGTATGTATGGAGCTGAAACCAATGATCCCTTCGTGGGGGAAATTTGCGCTCGGGTGACAACAGACGTCTTGTGGATCAACACCGAGCACGGGTCTCATCTCACGAACGGCCGACTGTGCGCCTCGCTCGCGCGCGAACATACTGCTGATGTGGCTGGATTAATGTGAATACGCAGAGTGCAAGGTGCAAGAAAAACCAGTGAGTACAACGCTACAGACAGGCAGCACCATGCGGCCGATCGGGTCACAGCGGACAGTACTCAACATTCAAGTGATATCGGCAGAGAACCGCGCCAGAGTAAAACCTAAACGGCGTACCGTCAACTTCTGGCCCGTGGTTCGTCGGGAGAGGAATCAACAAATAGGTGAGTCTCTCTGGAAAAATGGCGAAGTGTGGAATTGTAAGGTTCCGCCCGTCTTCAACTGGTGTTTTGTTATCCACAAGCCAAATACGATGTGCCGATCGTACCGTCCCGTCATTGAGACCTTCATTTTTTCCTCTCGCGCAATGTGTAGTAAAGGACCTCTCGAAAACTCATGTCACAACAACAAACGATCGATGACTCCAGAACGTCCTAGGAAATACACCCGAAAGCACGCATGCTGGCGATGCCCGAAAGCGCCAACGAAGTAGCCAGGAACAGCAGCGGCGGGGCTCCTCTGCTGGCGATTGCACCGTTGCTGCCGTCCTCGTCGTCGTCGGGCGCCGTGCCAGCAGCGGCGGAACCTTGTCCCAGACCGACAGATGACAAGAAGGCAGCAAGAAGTGGGGCGCCGTGCAAGTCGCAGTGGTATTACATAGTTCATGGTCGGCGGCGGCCGCT